CGAACCGTCTCTTCTTCTTTTCGTTGTATGTTACTCTTTAGTAACCTCTCAAATCTCCCGCACTTAGGTGACCTATTTGTGTTGCAAGGGCCGTAGTGGGTGGTTGGAGGATGCCACTTGTAGTACCTTCCTCTTTACTTTCTCTTTGTTGTTTCTGTCTGTCTATCTTACTTTTTCACAACAATAAATGACCATTATTGTGTCGGTGCGTTTCTTTTTACTCAAACAAACAAAAAAAAAACAAACAAACAAAACTCAGTGCCGTAAAACTTTAAAAACTAAAAACGAAAAGAAGGACATGGAAGTGTGCGCCCTCCAACCACCCTTACAAGATCGTCCTACGTTCACGCTCTCGGTAATACCTCAACGCCTTCTTACATTTACTGGCACACAAACGTGCACACTGCCCCAGATTTCCTGCATGTCTCTGACCCAGACAGACAGACATAATGTATCATGACGCGATGGAATCAGGCGTTCGGCAATTTTGGGGCATAGTGAGTTGTTGGTATACACTTACAGCATGTTCATTTGCCTTGCTTGCTGTGGAAAAAAATATCTATCTATCTTGAACAGAAGTTGAGATATTTGCGATTTATGGAGGTTGGATGGCCTGGTGTCAGCAGTAAAATAAGCGAGAAAATGGCCGCCGAAGTTCCGATACTTCCAAACTCCCAACCGCAAGTTTGCATTTTTCGAGCCATTGATAAATGTTTTTAAAGCAAAACCCACAGATAAATGTTGCATTTTTATTTTTCAATGAACATAAAAGGTGTCACCCCATCCCCCTTTTTTTCGCCCATCGCACTAAAAAACACAATCGCGCACCGGGTAGAAAAATTCCGGTTTCTTCGTTTTCATTGTTTTGACGAGCGGCTGATTTCACCACGATGTCTCGCAATAATGGTTTACCTGTACCTTACCTTACCTTGGCTCTTCAGGGTTGTTGGGTTTTTTTTCCTCGTCGGCGAGAGGGAAGTTGAGTCTGTTTCTTCACGCCTCCACAAGAGAACGCAATACTCCGGACAAGTGGAACCTGACATCTAGGCGAGATAGACGTCTATCTGATGGGGGTGAGGGGTGGTTGGCGTGAATAATGAACGTTAGATTGGTGGTGTAGTGTCTGTCTGTCTGTCTGTCTGTCTGTCTGTCTGTCTGACCCCCCCTCTCTCTCTGTCTCTCTCTGTGTTTGTCTCTGTGTTTC